CCCCAAAACCCCAAAACCCCAAAACCCCAAAACCCCAAAACAAACCTAAGATTGAAAAACGTGGGTTAAGTTATGTTTAGGTGAATGTTTCAGTAACCAGTTCGGCATGGTAGACCTCATCTGTTAAAGGCTTCTTGTTCACTAAAATGTTGCAAATGTCAGTGACCATCACTCACGAATATGCTAACACATTTTGTTTGTACCTAACACTAACTACTTTATAGGTGGGGTCTTTGACCATCAAAGTGTCACCAAACTTAACTTTATCAATGTTCCTGCTGATGTTGTATAGTGAAAGCACTGCAAACTTGAACTGAGAGTCAACAACCAAGAATCAAATTGGGACTTCCTGGTCTTTCTTTAATGGACAAATGAGTTTTCACACAAAGACTCCTCCTGAGTTTTCACCGATGATGCATTGTTCAATAGTAAGCACTTTGTATTTTGTGACTTTGTCAGAAACTAAGTTTGAAGTGGCTTCTTTGGTTTCTTCTTTATTTTCTTCATCATATTTGGTTTCTTCATCAGAGGATTCTTTACTACCTTCACTATGATCTTTGACGGGCTTGATGAACTTGACTTGTCCAATAGTTTTAGGAATCGACTTTACAATTCCATTTAAAACTTTGCTCTTTATGGTTCCTTTCTTTTTGATCAGATTACACACATTTATTACATAGTCTTCAATAGCTTTTGCTCTATCTTTGGCTCCCAAATTTTGATCGATCGAATGTGCAACTTCATAATCATTGATGGCTTCTGTATAATTCTCAAGGTAGTTGTAAATTGTGGCTCTGTTGTAGTACAGGTCTGGGTGCTCATAAACTTGAGTCTTCTCAGCCTGAGTATATGCTTTCAATGCAAAATTCAAATCTTCATAATTCTTTGACCCCATAAAAAAATTTGTGAGGTGAGCATTCCCAAGCACATACCAGCTTTCACTGTCTTTGAAGTCACACGCAACTGCTCTCTTACCATAATCAATGCTCTCTTTGAGTGACTTAAGTTGTTCATGAGAGTCTTTTGTTGGAAGTTTCCTGATAACCATAGATAAAGATCTAAGAGCCTTATTTATCATTTTCATCTTCTTCAATTGCGTTTTTATACAACATTACTGACTTGTTGTAATCAGCTTTCTTCCAGTAAACATGGGCGAGGGCTCTCATCGGGTCAACCCAGAAAGGCTTCAGCTTGACAGCTTTGCAAAGAGCTTCCTCAGCTTCCTTTTGGAATTCCGGAATGAAATCCAAAGTTTTACCTCTGAGGTAATAATATTGGCTCTTGACATTTTTGTTTCCATTCTCAAATTCAAACTTGTTCTGATCAAGCAGTCCGATAATAGTGTCATGAAGCTCTCTCATTTTGATGTTTCTGTCTTTCTTGAAATAAGAACTATCAATGAGTTCTAATTCTTCCAAATGCTGAGTGATTGTGGGTATCAAATCTTGATCCATTCCCAAAAATATTATTTACAACATATTTACTTGAATCCGGGGTTTTGGGGTTTTGGGGTTTTGGGGTTTTGGGG